TGAACGTGACTTTTATCCCGCTTATAATATCTTGTATGTGTCGATATTAGTGTAATACCCAAATATGTGGTCAATGACTAAAGAGTAAGGATTTAAAATTTAACGGTTTAATTTTTATAAATTGAATGTTCAAAGATTGATTTAAAAAAATTTGTTAAGGGCAAAATAATCTTTTATCATGAAATAAATTTAAAATTTATGTTATATAGCATGTGGGGGAAATAGAGAAAAGGAAAAAGGAATATCCTAGAAATTCTCCTCATCTTTTCTTCTCTTCCACCGTAAACTCCCTTTGTTAAGGTAAGTGATTTGAAGGTGGTTATTTATTTCATTTTTGATTTGGTTTTGAATCTTTGGTTTAAGAAAACTTAAAGATGATTAGAAGTTATGAGATTGATAAGTTAATGGCAATTTGGTAAAATGGTTTTTTAAGGGAATTGATGAAATTTGATTAGTATTTGGATTTTAAAGGCATGAAGGTTTGATTAAGGTATTTGAAGTAACTCTGTTCCCGGTATTGCTAATTGGGTTCTCTCCTTGTTTGCTGATTTGGTGTTTGTTGCATTCAATACAACGGTTGAGAGTTTCCCAAGTAAAGAAAAGTGTGTTGTTTGTGGGAATCTCGTGAGATTGTCTTTGAAAGGTTTGGTTTCAAAGGCTGTCGAGTTCGCATTTCTTTCCGTGGCTAGAGAATATGGAGGGTTCTTCTGAGGAGATCAAAGTGATTTTGGTTCTTGGAGGGTCTTTAGGAGCTAATGCTGTTAACATTGCTTGTTGCACGTGTACTCTCAGCTTCTGTTGGAACGTAAGAATCGGTTCATTATATGGCAAACAGGGGTAGAGTCGTTTGATGAAATGGAGAGCCTGGTTAGGAGCCACCCTCGGCTGCTTTTGACTCCGTAAGTTGCGCCATGTTTGTGATGTAGGATTTACCATACTCGTTTCTCACTTTGTGACGCCGAATGACTAATGTTGTTTGTTTGATTAAATTAAGACTTGAAACTAGGTTCCCTACAGATATTGTATCTTTCTTTCAAATGTTTAGTGCAGCTTGTTCTAGTTTGCCTCTTCTGCTGGTTAGTTATGCTTTGAGAACTCAGATAAACTGAATGAACTAATGATTCCATTATGTTTAACACTTCTGAAGAAATAATGCCTTTGCAGCACACTGAAACTCTGAAATCTGTCAGGACTTCATTTATTTTTACCTTATCATTGCTGATATTCTAAGACAACTGACTATAAAGACGGAGTTGAGAAGATAATGAGTGGAAAATACATGGTACTTCTTGAATTTATGTGTAGTTAGATTGGAGAGAACTTTACATAACCAGATATTACTAGAGAAAATTAAAGAATGGATTGTTCCCCATTAGTCACAAGGGCACATTAGTTTTGTCGGAACATGCACCAGGACGGTATCTGTTGTTCTCTTGTGTTCTTAGTTTGATACAAACTCTTATTCACTCGTCTTCACATTGAAAAGAAGATGAATATGTAACCACCCTGGGCTCGTTCGAATATCCAGGTCATGTTGCATCTTTTTGTTTGCCTTGTAAGTTTAGATGCTTCTTATTTGATCATAAGCTCGCTCAACTGCTGGAACCTACTTTTTGATCTTATATCCTTCGATCTCACGAACTGATAAGTGTGTATAGTTTTGAGAGCAACTTGCACATGGTTGTGCTGATGTAGATAAGACCTGTGCTGATGTAGATAAGACCAATAGGTTCCCCGTCTTGTTACTGGAATTCACAAGTAATAGACTCCTGTTTACATTATTATGTCCTATGGCCTTATTGAAAGGTAGATTTCTCAGTAACGTGGCTGGCATCGATCCAATCAATTTAAGTTCTTCAAAAATCGGTTGTTCTTTCACATTGTGTATTTACATATTGGTCTTTTTTTCATCGATGTTTGTTTAATCTAGATAACATTTCTTTAAATTACTGGCATTCATCTTATTAATTGGCAGTTGTACTGCAGAAGCCAGACCCTTGCTTCTAATTCCCGTCATTTTCTAGTGGTATTCTCACAATGTGATTAGCTTATTGTACAAATCTTGTCTATTTTGTGGTTAGTAAGTGAGGCTTAGATTTTTTAAATAATTATGTTTTGAGTTCCCTAATATCTGATGTAGCTCTGAAATTATGAAGGTTTTTGCATTCAATGGATATTGCATATGCAGCAGCTGACCTCATTGTTTCACGAGCCGGTGCAATGACTTGCTCTGAGATATTGGCTACTGGGAAACCTGCTATATTGGTAGACTGAAGACAGTTTCCTCTTTACTCTTTCTTCCTGCTTCTTTTTATAGTCTCTTTAGGAGTCAGTAAACATTAACTATTGAAACTGCGAAGGAGCTAACTAGATTATTCTGCTAAGATGGTATTACCGTTTGACGTATATCGACAAATGGTTATCTGTTCGGAGAACATATTATTCCAATTTTGGTAAAAGCAATTCTTGAAATATGTTTCATTACAAAATAATGTTTAATATATAAAGCATTATAGAAGAGTACATTTTGTAGCCAGAAAAATAATTATTCTCAAACCATACAAGATTCTGCTTCCTGTTGTCATGATGACAAAGTTAGACTTGTAGGCAGAGGCAAAGTTTCACATTATTTTGACTTTTATTTTCCTTCTGTTGTGAGCCTAACTATCAGTTTAGAATCAATTTAATTTATTCTTCTTATGAGAGCCAAGATTCCTATCCAAATTACAACTTTTTTGCCTCATTTTAATTTTTAACTTATATACTTATTTGTCTCTTGGATGTTGTAGGTACCATCACCAAATGTTTCAGAAGGACGTCAACACAGAAATGCTTCTCTACTGGCGGATGTAGCTGGTTCAAGGGTTATAACTGTGGATGAACATGATTCAACCACCCTGGGGACAGCTATATCTGAAATATTAGGTATTTTGTTGTTGTTGCTTGCATTTATGATTAGTGTTACGATTTTTTTTTGATAAGAAATGGAGATCTCATTAAAAACCACCTTCTGAATAGTAGCGGAAGGAGGAAAAGAGTACCTCGAATTTTATTACCACACAAATAATAACAAGGGTCCATTACACCACCACCTATAAAGTTCCTTAGACAAATATTCCCACACCCTTAAAAGGTCTTATAAGATCTCCCAATGTTACACAATAGCCTAAAGGACAAGTTCTTCTACCCTATCCCTTGTTTTGCTAATTCATCTGCTTTGACATTTACACTCCTCCTTACACAACGGAGTACTACTGCCCTATCCTTGATGATTTATACAATATCTTTTACTAACTCCGAAAAGGGAATCGGACACAAAATAGGATCTTTTAACCATTTTACTGCTATCTTATTATCAACCTGTTCTTCTTGCTAACATCCATAGAATATAGAGATGCCTTGTTTAATGGCTAGTAATTCTGCCAGGATAGGGGGACCTTGCCCAACAGCCTTTGAGAACGTTGCTAAGCAGAACCACTCTGATCTCGAAACAATCTTTATTCCAAAGCCTGATGCTTCTTCGGAGATTGCAAAATGCGTCCTTTCCCTAGTTAAGGAAGTTGATGGATAATAAATTTTCCTGCTTAGTAACCCTGGATGTTTTGTGGTGGGATAACTTTGACAAATAGCTTTGTTGTAATGTATAATGAACCTAGTCCAGAAAATTCAAGTCCAACTCCACTCATCGTTGGTTTTATAGCTTGATCACATCTGTTGCTAATGGAGTAAGTTTCTGTTTGCTTTGCCTGCCAAACAAGTTTCAGTCCTGCCATCTCTTTCCAGCGGATGATGATATGCGTAAAGAAGGGCTTCCCTGAGGACAAAAAGATTGCCAAAAGATGGATTAGTGTTTTGAATGAATTTGCTGTATTGGCCAGCAAATCCTTCCTCCTTGATCTTCCACTAAAAAAGCAATCCCATAAAGTTCAACCAAGCAATGTAGATGGTGATATGTCTTTCGGAATCTGTTTTTCCTTGATCCGTTGTACATGCAGGGCTTACACAAGGCTTTAATAGAGACCACTTTTAAAGCTCTCCTTTCAGCTAGCAGAAATATTTATGGGTGATTTAGCAATGGTTACTTTCAGCTAGCAGAAATATTGAATTACCTGCTATGATTCCCACATTCACTCTTAGAATTGTCGAACCCATAAAATGACTTCAATAGTTAAAGGGATAGTTATTCTTCCTAAATATCTTAGGTTCAAATAGCTAACTCTATGGATGTGTGTATTCGTTAAGAAAGAGAATAAATACTGTATTTTAATAATTCCTGCTCACTGTCAACTCTGATTTATCCAAATTTACCATTTGTTCCGGGATTTGACATGTTCTGTTGAAAAAAGTGACGTTTCCTAAATATATTTTGGGGCTTAATCTTATAATTAGTTTTAAAATGGATATTTTTCTCATAAATAGGCCCAAGAACTCATTAAACTTACTAAATCATTTTGAAAACATGTGTTGAGTACGTTAACAGTTGAAAATATATTTAAGCACTTCTACCCAAAAAGGCAAATACACGTTAAATATTTTGTTATATCAAAACTAAAAAAAGATGCTCACAACTTCAAACTTTCAACAGTCAATTCGTAGAAGAATCCAAGTTCTTAGTTTCAATTTATTTTCATAGGATTTCAAAACGGGGGATCCAATGTAAGGGCAGCAATGCTTTCCTATCCTTCCTGCAAACCATGCTAAACAATTGAAATTTAAGGAGGCAAAATGTTCAATCATCAAGCTGACAATGTCTCATGCATGCCTCTAGTTATTTATCCAGTATCATGATTCATCAATTTGATGCAATAATTCCAATATATATATATATATATATGAGCTAAAATACAGTTACACATCGTGTTTCTCTACATAAAAACCAGAATGATATAAGCATGAAGCAGAAAAAGCTAAACAATCTTATCCTTTCAACAACAGATGCAAAATAACATTACTCGAAATGCAAGATTACTCCTTGCTCAACAAAAATCATAGAATTTTGACAACAAATGCATCATTCCTCTGAAAAAGAAAACCCTACCGATATGTTCTCAAAATATCATCTTAAAATGTAAAGATCAGAGCAAATGCAAGTTAGATGCAGCATGTTCAAGTTCCCAGGTTGCCTTTGCATGAAACTGACTCCACTAGTTCAAAAAAATCCAACGAGGTGACTTCAATAGCCTGATTACATTTGTAATCTACTAAGTTTATACAGGCTTCTAACTAGTAACTACATGTTTGATGTTTCAAGTTGTTATGTCACAACACAAATAAAAAAGTATAAGCTGATTCTTTTCCGAGTAATACAAACATGTAATCAGGCCATTTCAACTGCTACAAACCAAGAATGAACCAACTAGAATTGGAAAATCCCCAAGGTTTCATTGGACTCTTTGGTTTCCCAAAATCCAAAGGTATGAATGAGAAAAATCATGGATGAAAATGCTCGACATCCATGGAAGGAAAACCGGATTGTGCTATTCTCATTCCTCGAAGTAAACTCTTTGCTGTTTCTCTCTCCTATAATCAAAATAGAGAAAAATAAAACGACTAAAGTTGGTTAAAAGATCTTGATAATTTTCTATGATGAGCTGATGAAACTCACCGGGCCAGTATAATCCAAAAGTCGGGTACAATACACTTCCGCTTCTTCAAATCTCTTCTGTGTTTTGTAGTGTGTGGCAAGAAACGTCAGTGCTTCAACTGTGTTCGGTCCTTCTCTCTCTTCAGCCTCCATTCTTTCTAAATCCTTCTTGTAATAGAATGCTGCCTCCTCAGGGTGACCAAGTTTTCTATATAACTCTGCTAATCGATGCAGGGCAATTGCTTCTGTGTCATTACAGTTCGCAGCCCTTTTGTAACATTTGATGGCCTCCTCAAGCATGTGCAGCTGTTCAGATTCATAGCATTGAGCCATGGCAATCCATAACCGAGAATCAATTGGCTGAAAGAAAACAGATTTCTGGAAATAATGCAAAGCATAATGGGGCATGCCCATCATCTCATATGCTTGTCCCAACCCATACCAGGCTCGATAATCCCGAGGATTTATGTCCACAGCCCGTCTATAGGCATCAACTGCAGCAGGAGTGTTTTTCATCTCGACATACTCATGGCCCATTAGAGTCCAAGCAGATAAATATTTTCTGTTCAATTTGAGCGCCCTCCTAAAATACATGACTGACTTCTCGTGCTGCCCTTTTAAACTGTAGTAATTTCCAATTATGCAGCAAGACTCGGGACGATATTTATCGGTCATAATGACCCTGTGAGCAAGGTAGCTCAAGGCAGAGAAATACTCCTTTGTGTAGAGCACATTAGAATATGCGTCCATGTCCTCTACTCGATATGGGTCATTCCTTAAGAGGTCTTCAAATATCACTTCAACTTGATCAAATTCCCTTAGACTATACTGGGCTTTTGCAATTTGAGCCTGTATGTAATTACTAAATGTAAACGTGCCCTGTAGATTTTCATATTTTGATAACGACTCATTATGCATTCTGAGCTCTTGGTAAACACTAGCAAGAAAAAACTCCTTCATCCAGTGATTACTGAGATTGAGGCTGTTCATGATGTCGACTGTAGTGCATAAGGATTGCAACTCTGACCAGGCATTCCAATTCCAAGGGTAACTGTTTACAGATTCCACGAGAATTTTGCGGGCTAGATTTTCATTGCCTTTTTCTTTAAGTACAAGACCATACAAGTACAACCCAAAAGGATCTATCATGTTATTCTTATAAAGAGTTGATAGCTCCCTCTCTAGAGAAACCAATTCGCGGTTAATAGCATCACTCTTACCTAAGGGACCTTCAAGTTCTATCATTTCTTCTTCTTTCCGCTTTTCTCCAGCCTTCATGATAAACAGTAAAGCACATAAACACAAGATAGTTTGAAGAAAACACATGGCATTGGAATCAAAACAGAAGACCGATAAACAGTGTACTATATTCAATGCTAACAATCTATCATAAAAGTATTTCAATATTATATTATGCATCGATGATATGAAATTCCATCTTGTGTTGTGGATTAATATTAGTCAGGCAACAAATTTGAACACCAAAATAAAAAGATCAAAGAAAATCAGAGATAAAACAAAATCTCTATTGCATGTAATATTTCTTAGCTACAAAGGTACATACAGTCTTAGACTCTCAATAACATGCTGGCTTTACACTTTTTCTTTTTGAAGAAATTTCCATGGATTACTATAACAAGACTAAATGCTATTTCCTAAAATCTTTTCGATGGTCCCTTTCCATTTTCATCCTTCTAGCACCAATAGACTCCACACCAACTTAGATCAACATCAAAAACTAAAATACGAGAATACTAGTACTTTGACATCTGAAGTTTGATGAATCTCAGGATTAGAATTTACTAAGGGTTCTAATCAGTTTGCTTGGTATTTTTCATTTTCTTGAGCAGTTCAAAGTTACTTGATGAGGAACAACTCTAACAACCACAGAGCATTATATTGATATAGATTACTTGTGATGGATCAAAACTGTAATTTCATGTGCCATTAAAGATAGGAGTCAGAGTCACCTATGTTGTTCATCCATACATGTATTTAACATTTTGATAAATGAATGGAAGAGAAATGATAACAAAAAATAAGAACACAAAATGGAAAACACTAAAAAATATTTTCCTCCACAAGCTTCCGCATAATTTAAGTTCTTATAATAGGTGATAGAGGTACAAATGAAGCTCTCATTAAAAAAAGCCAGTGTTTTTAAATGTT